GGTCTGAATTATGATCATATCTTCGCGTACACATGACCATTTCCAAAACGGACTGTTGCCGGATGCACCCTGGGACCTACAGAGATGGCCTAGCTGGGCTGACATACACCTGTCACTGGTGTGGAAGGAGCGCACGGCGGTGCTAGGGAGGGTAATAGGATTTTTAGCGCGGAAAAGCGATTTTTGCAGACGGGGGAAACACGATTCCTGTGCTCACCGTTGACGATATTGCGCTGAACCTTCGGCCTAACGATTCCTTGATGTAGTATCGATGCTAGCAAGCGGTTCCGTGTCAGTGCTCATCCGGTAGGCTGAGGGGTGCTCGTCTTTGTGCGCGCTCGGGGGGGTGTCACAAAATGCGTCCCCGCCCANTGTAGTATCGATGCTAGCAAGCGGTTCCGTGTCAGTGCTCATCCGGTAGGCTGAGGGGTGCTCGTCTTTGTGCGCGCTCGGGGGGATGTCACAAAATGCGTCCCCGCCCCAAAAAAGCGTTTTGGGTTTCCACAGAACGTCACTTACATGGAAACGCGGCGGAATTTCAGTCATCCTCCAAGCTTCGCTCTTTATATGGTCATCTTCCATAGACCCCAAGTATCGCTTGCTGAGGGGCCCCGTGACCATGAATCGGGGTAGGGCCGAAAAAATGGTTCAAGATTGAGTTGGTACTGGTATACGACGACTTACAAAAAAATCGCGACATGAAATGGTATTAATAGTGGTATCCTCGTAATCCGCTAGTCGCAGAGGTCGTGAGTTCGATTCCCCATGGGGTGAAAAATTTACGAAATGTGTGGGTGAAAGCGAAATACTTTAGAGTATAGCTAAAGAGTACCAAACTTCGACGTTAGCACCGTTGACGATCGATGGAAAGGGACGGACGGCTGGACCCTTCTCGCGATAAATTCAGCACGCACCGCAGGAGGAAGTCGGGGCATGAAAAGAAATAGAAAGAAGAAAAAAGCCCAGCCTGGTGTTTACCCCCTCCTTCCTGTGTGACCCTGGATGGTTGTAGTTGTACGAAAAAATACACTGAAAAGTGTAGTAGAACTCTACATACGCTGAGAAGTGTAGTATTACGTTGGCAAATAATTAATAGGAGCAAATCAAAAGATATGCGTTTCGGAGTGTAACTTTCGCAATACGATGCGCAGCACGGCATACGATAGCGCAAATTGACGACAGGACAAAGGCGGTCACGATGAAAAATTGCTTGAGTTATGGCGTGTCGTGTACCTGAGCAGAGACTCAAAATTGGAAAAAAAAATGCCCAGCAACATCCGGCCAACATTGGTATCCCCACTTCTCGGCCTGTAACAATATTTTTAAGCGCCTGTCGGCATACAGTAGCGCAAAACGCTTCCATGACGAAGGCGGTCAATACGCAAGAAGATAAAACATGAATGCAGTTGACGTGTGGCAAGCTGCATACGGGGTAAACTTGTCGACATTTGAATATATATATATATTTTTTTCATGAACAACTGCNAACTCTACATACGCTGAGAAGTGTAGTATTACGTTGGCAAATAATTAATAGGAGCAAATCAAAAGATATGCGTTTCGGAGTGTAACTTTCGCAATACGATGCGCAGCACAGCAGACGATAGCGCAAATTGACGACAGGGAAAAGGCGGTCACGATGAAAAAAAGACATAAAAAAAAAAAATCAAATTGCTTGAGTTATGGCTTGTCGTGTACCTGAGCAGAGATTCAAAATCGGAAAAAATGCCCAGCAACATGCGGCCAACATTGGTATCCCCACTTCTCGGCTTGCAACTCAATATTTTTAAGCGCCTGTCGGCATACAGTAGCGCAAAACGCTTCCATGACGAAGGCGGTCAATACGCAAGAAGATAGAACATGAATGCAGTTGACGTGTGGCAAGCTGCATCCGGGGTAAGACTTGTCGACAATTGAATAT